TATCACCACCTAGAATCTTCATCTACAAAGTTTTCCTCTAAATCGGATGAGTAAATTTTCACCAAATTTTGCGCTTTTAGTTTAATCTCAGATTCTGACAAATTTTTGTGAACAAGAAAACCGAAATTATCGTACAAATCACTGTAAGCTTTACGCCTTTTAGTCATTTCAGAAATTAATACATCTAAAATGGCGTAATACGTTTCCATACGAAGAAAATTTCAGCTTATATTTTGAAAAGAAGGGAGGAGTGGGGGAAGGAGGGGAGGGCCCATAAACGGCTGTGCCTAGGGCCTACGAAAGGTATAATCCGGTTCTGACTGTACAATATTGGATTCCCAGATAATTTAAGATTTAAGAATATGAAAGTCCTTTGACACTCGTTACTCCAAACAATAGATTCTTTCTCAGATCTTCCAGTAAATAAATCTGTAATCAGGTTTGAGATTTAAGAAAAATTCTGGAATGCATTTAATGGTAATATCCCGCAAGTCCCAAAAAAGCTTTTATTTCACTCTTAGTTTTTGGTACCGAAAAGTCTTTAACAGCTTTCACCTTGAGTTCTCATGGGCTTCTTTGACCTCCGCAAATCTGATGTTCTAAGTATATAAAATTTTACGTAGAATTGCGCGAATTTACACTTGGATGAACTTTAAATTGGCATTATGATTTTTTCTTCAGCACGGCTTTGAGGTGAGTAAAATGATCATCCCAAGTGTTTGAGAAAATAGCGATATCATCTAGGTAAGGAAGGCCCGCACAGCCTTTGCATATTTCTGCCATTTGTTTGCAAAAATAGGGTGCGTTCTTTACTCCAAAAGCCATTCTTAGAGGTCTAAACGAACCAAAACTTACAAACAAATGCGATATATCTTTGAGCTCTTTTACTCAAGAGTATTTGCCAATAACTTCTAGCTATATCAATTAAGCTTACATGCTTAGCTTTGAACACTTTGTTCAACTCTTTCTTCACTGTTTGGCAATGGGATGTATTGGCTTCGGGTAATTTTATTCAAACGTCGATAATCATCTATACATGGCCTAGGATCTTTTCTCGGAGCTTCAACTAATATTAATGGTGAAGCAAAATCTGATTCACCTTCTCCGATTATTTCAGCATTCAGCATTTTTTTCTACTTCCTTTTTTTAATATTTTAGTTGGGCGATATGGTCTAGTATATATAGGTTTTTCGCATTCTAATTTTCTCAAATTCAACTGAATGAGTACAGCCAGGTTCATTTGAAAAGGAATCGATGTGTTTTTCAAGCAAAAGATTTCAATTTGTCTTTTTAGCGATCGTTCAGCCGAGCTTCATCTTCACTCTCCTGAAGTAATTTTTTAACTTTTTCTTGATTTTCCAATGTTAGTGAGTTTAACTTATATGCATCCAGCTTGTTTTTTTTTCTGGTGATCATTCCAGTTGGGGTTTTCGGCTAATTTAGAATAGGAATTCAACTCCTTCCTCGACAAAATGATCTCTAACATCATTTGGTACATGGCCTTTCATTTACTCAGTGACCATTAAATTTTTAAAACCTTCAAATGTGCTAATTTTTAGTTAAGTCAATTCGCTAAAATAAAAATGTAATTCTTGAGCAAAATTTCCCCAAGACTTTTCAGGGGACTTAAAATACAAATAAAAATTTGTTTAAGTTTGCAGTTCTTGTACAAAATCATAATTATTGGCATCTTCTCCCCAGCAGATCATAAAAAAGTCGTAAATTTAAATTTCTCAGGAACTATCCAACCAATTTCGTTCAAATTTTGTATTTACCATGTGAAATTAGACACTTTAAAATGATGCGAAAAATTGTATTTCTTACATTTCAATTTTTTTGTTTAATATACCAAATAAAATAATAAGAAATTATAAATATTTTTTGAAGTTTATTTTTTGCATCGAATTATCTTAGGATAAACGAATATTATAATTGTGCACAAATTTTTTTTTCCAATTCGCTTAAAAAGTTCTCGAGATATGGCGAATTACGTAAAAAGTAAAAATAGCATTAAGGAGTTTAAAGTTTTGACTGCTCTCCTGACCGAAGTATTAGGAATATATTTCCCAGATTGCGGCTACATCCTATATTTTGGGGGTCAGAAATCCAAATCAGTCGAAAAAAAGTATTCAGAGAAAGTACTTTTTTGTGTCTGATTTCGTAATTTAAAATAGCGTATGCACTAATTAATTAGCATATTCGAGATCATCTCTCGAACGATTAAGATTGAATCCTAGAACGTGAAGATCATTAGTTTAAAAGTTATTCAGGTCTGTCCATTTTTTTTGACGCATTGTACATCCAGTACAAAGAGAAATTTACGGACTCACCACTTTGCAACTGCTTAAAATTTTACTTTGGACCAGTGACATTTAAAAACACCCTCTAACTAGTTCTCCCTCATCCATAAAAAAAATTAAAAAAAAAATTAAATAATAAATAAATAAATTATGTGGTTGCCTGCGAGATCAAATATTTCATACTTGGTGAACAAGGAAAAAATCGAAACAAAGACGATCGCTGCTGAATGGAGATGACACTAGTCAACCCAGTTGAATCAAATGTTTTGATTAAAGTTGGAAGAATCAGTATTTGAGAATGCCAGTTAGAATGGGGAATAATTTCAATATAATAGAAAAAAAACTTTTTATGATTATTACCATTACATTTTCCCAAAAACATGAAGAAAGAAGTAAAAAAAATAAAATTGTAGGTGCAAGGAAAGAAAAAAGAAACTAAATGCAGAAAATTTAAGTTTTCATAATACAAAATTAGTTTTATTTACACAAAAAAATAAGTCAGATTAAAAAACTACTTCCTAATTTTTTTATTCAAAATTTGTCACAAGCAGTAGTTACATTTAAAAACTAGTAATACTAAAAACTTTGTTTCACTAAAATCATAGCATTTAG